ATTCCCAGTAGAAGTTGTGGATAGATTAAATCTGCCTTTTGGGAACAGGATGTTTTCATAAAAATCATGAACATAGTTGTGGAAATACAGCTTTGTTAGGCTCATTTCTGTAGTATTATACAGCAGTAGCAACAGTCATCACCTATAACATTGCTATTTAAACAAATTTTGTCAGAACGGGGTGGTGGTGATGGGGAAATAGTAAATATTCCACAGTAGATGGGACTGATATATTTTATTTCAATAATTGCTATTGTAAGTTTGTGCTACTGTAGCTTCTTTAAGCAACCATAGTTCTCTACTGCTGAAGCTTTGTCTCCCCCTGTATGAAAGGATGGCAGAGGGAAACTGGAAGGCTCCTGAAGGTTGCCCAGCACACTGGTGCTGAGCCAAGCCTGGCACTCAGGTTATCAGTGCCTGGTGTCCAAGGCACTACTGGCACTGATAGGAGGCTCTGCTGGCATTGATAGGAGGCTTACCTCTACTTAAATTCCAATGTATTTTAATGAATATTTTTGTTATTCTTGCTGCCTTTTATTATCTTGATCAGGTAAAAGTACTTGTGGAGTGAAATGGAAGGTATTTCCTTTAAGTGTAGAGTGATAACTAAATTAACTCAGCTGAAGGTACTTACAAAATGGTAACAGCATAAGAGGAAGGAGGTATTTGAAGGAAAGGGAAGTCTCAGCTGAAAGATGATTCACCCAAAAAGAAGTACTAGAGAACAGTTTTGTCACTGGTTAATGCCCTAGTTTTTGACCATTGTAGTCTTGCATATAAATCCATAACACAAGTCCACGTCTTGAGTTGTGGTGTGGCTTTGTTTCTGCTGGAGACTGGTTAGCAAGTCTCCCCAGACTTTGTTCTGTCATGTCCTAGAGCAGGACAGGCTCTGAATGGGAGGAGAAGGAGCTAGGGACAAGTAAAAGAAGGTACTTCACCATAATTGTGCTTAGTACTCCCTGCATAGGTCTCTGAAAAGCCTGCTTTCTGTTTATTCAGAAAACATTTAAGCATTTAGTAGAACACTTTTTTCTGTTATAAGTTCTTATATTCTAAAACAGAAGTACATCTTAGTGGCTGTGGCTTTGAACTCTTGCCTGTGGTCTTAGCTTAGTAGGTGTACTCAACCTGTCCTTAATGAAAATTGTCTCTGAAGATTATAGTTAGTCAGTACAGTTATGTTTAAATTATATACATGTATAAATAAACTTGCTGTTCACTTTCAGTCTTTGAAAAGACTTTGAAAAGTCAAGTCATACTTTGATTTGGATAGCAGACTGTATAATTGGAATGTTGCTTAGTCTTGGCACTAACATGCTGAGAAAGGAAAGAGTAGAAACTCTTAGTTACTGAGTTGTTTATATAAACTTTCTCTGGGGAGAAAGTAGAGATCTTCACCTCAAACTAAAATTCTCATGTGTGATAGTTGACCAGCTTTACTGGATCTATTAAAAAATTAGAGTTTTTTTCTCTTAATGCTCTACTCTGAACAGTACAGTAATTGGAGGAATGAGTTTTTTTGTGTGTGTTTACTTTCTTTAACTCTAGGGCATGTGGGGTTCTGAGGAAGATTTCATGTGATCTGACTGTCAGCAGTCCCCACAAAAACCATTTCCCCCATCCTTATGTTACCTAAGCCTGTCCACCCAAATGAAAATATACATTGTAGCTCATTGTATAACTTGTAATACATGTATTGTGCCAATCTTGAACAGCAGATAAATGGGGTTTTTTAAGGCTATAGAAACCTTATGTCCTCAATGTCAGCCAGGTGCTATGTGAACACTGATAATATAATGCAGGTGACATTAAAAGAAGGGGGATAGACTGTGGTGTGAAACTCCAAAACAGACACAATATAATTGAAAGACTGGAGGAATGGAGGAACCCAAAGGCATCGAGGGAGGAGAAACCACCTGTTTCCATCTCCAGTTTGCTAATTATGCCTGTATGGGATCGTGCAATGGAAGTTGATTCGGCTTTCGAATGGAGGTAGAGGTAAGATGTCAGTTAGGACTGAAAATGAAGTTAAGGAGTTTGATAAACTACAGCTCTGGCTGTGGTTTAAAAGGGTGGTGTTGGGGATGCCTAATTTGGTTAAAGCAGCCCCCAGCAGCCTGTTGTTCTCTGAGCTACGCCAGTGCCAGCATAATTGTCTGTGTGACTACATGAAGAACCAAAACTGGCTGTGATCTAGCCGGTAAAAATGCTTCATGCAGGCTTTTTTTCCCTGGGTTTTTAAAGATTTTTGGACTTCCCATCCATCTCTCACCATGCGGTTGCCTGAACTGTCATAGAGGAAGGGTGATGTGATGCAAAGGTGAGAATAAGCTGAAAAACAGAAAGCGCTGAAACTGGAATGGCTGCTGAACAAATTAGTATGAAATTATATCCTCTGTCAGAGTGTGCTGCGGAGTGCACCATCTGTGCTTTCTTTAGAAAAAGAAAGATGTTAGGTTTTCCTTAAAACTCAGAATGAATAGACTATTCAGCCTCATCTCTTACTTGGCTTGTACTGGTTTCTGAAGATTAAGTGATCCTGTAGAAAGATCAGACTTTTTTTCCAGGCAGTATCTGTGAGATTTTCTCTTGGGGCTTGATTTTTCAGAAGTATCTTGAAGTGTTCAAAAGCCTCTGAGAAAGCTTATTTAAGCTAGCTACTGCTTATTTAATATACCACCTACCCCACTACCCAGACAAAGAAATGATGGTCTTTGCTTGCTGTAATAAATTTTCTCAGATAAAATGTACTTTGCCACCTGGTATGTGCCTTTAACTTGCCACTGTCCATTTACATGGTAGTTGTTAAGAATCTGTGCTTGCAGAGAGAAATTTGATGAGAAAACTGGCCAAATGACTTGGTAGCTAAACTTTTCTTTCTTGAAAGCCTTTGGTATACTCAAATTGCATTTCCTTACAGCAAAAATTTGTACGAAATACTTACAAACCAAGTAACCAGCAAGTTAATTGTCAGCAGGTGATTGTGTTCTGCTCTCTTGCATATACAGCTATGAAGGAAGGACATCACTGGAGTAGGTTGGCCAAGTCAACTAACTTGGCTTGCTGATGATTGCCTTCTGCAGAATTGACAATATGATTTTCTGGCAGACAGAGCTCTGGAACAAAGTTTGAGGCTACAAGAACAGGTTTTCTCACTGCTAGGTTGGTTGGAATAGCCATGCAAGTGAAGCTCGATGGTTGGTTTCTGGAGGGGTTGGCTAAAAAGAGAGTGGGAGCACACTAGTAGGAAGGTTGTAGAGTGGTGGTCCATGTTGAGCTACTGCATCATGATAATACCTTGTTCAAAAACCCCCTGTTAAATACTCTTAAGGATTAAATGGGTGGAAGCTTGAACTTCTCATTTCTGCTGTACTTTCAGTGCAGTAAATGGTTGGTAAATGTCCATAGTATGACTATTTCTTTTTATTTCTGTTCTTTGTTGTTAATTTTCAGGTCAATGTGTTTCATACTCAGAAATACGAAGGGAGTTTCATCATATGTCGGATACTTAGTGTTACTTGGAGTTTACACCTCAGACTGTGAACCTTGACTTACTCCAAGCATTCTATTAGACGTGGCAAGCAGTAGTGGTGTATGTGGCATCTCTGAGCAGCAGCACAGCTGCTGCTGGATTGTGTCTACTTGTAAAAGTCCATGAAAGGCTGCAGCATGGTGCAGGCAGCAAATAGCCCGGCTGCCTGGGAGCTGCAGTCATGGTTTTGTGGGCCTTAAAGCCTTCCACCTGTCACACAGGGGAGATGAGAGCAGGACGTGTGTCTTATGGAAGTTTTAAAGCTGAAAAGTTTTCCAGATGAGCAGTATAACAGATGTTTCTACTTAGTGATAATTTAATTATTGATTATCATTGCAGTTTAATATTTTGCATTAAAAGTAGTATAGATTTATATCTGTGGTTATCTCTTGGAGATACTCGAAGCAAAAATAATACATCAAGGGCAGCATCACGTCATTAGGTACATGCTGAAAAGAATAAATCAGGAAGATACCATCTCTATAGTGCAATTTCTGCTTTTATCTTCCAGAAGTAAGTTCCTACATTACTTTTTGACTGTAGGATACACAGATAATGTACACTTTTATAATTTTCAGGATTAATTGTCTTTATGACCACAGTGGACACAATACTATGCTGTTCTGAGTAAATGAACCTTTTTGTATAGGCTTTAAACAGGGCACTTGTTTGACTGTCCTAGATGTGTCAGTGTATCACACATGGTCTTCTCATGGGTTTGGATGACTTTCACAGGTTCAGATGGGAAACAAGTTCTACATTTTGGTATTTGATATAGTGGAGATCTCATTACAACTCCATCACTGTAACTAGTTTGGTGGAATCTCAGCAAGAAATTACTGTTTTGCTTTGGGATGTTTTCAGAATTTGACACATTTTAATCTTTTTTAATTCTACTTGCTTATAAATTCCATAATCTTAAGTGTAGCTACAATCTAAATAATTTACTGGTTTAGTGCCCGTTTTTACAGAAATAATGCATTCTTGATCCCCTGTATTCCATTCCACACTTTGTAATTCTTCACATCTGTTAATTCTTTGTAAATAATTCTGTGCTGTAAATAGACTTGAGAAAGATGGAAAAGTCACTTCATTTCTAAATATACATATTTCATTTCTAAATGTACATATACAGTTATTTGAAAATTGTATGATTCAGAATTGCCCATCAATTAAAACTGAAGATGAATTTGCGTGTCCTTCTCTTTTGCATCTCATGTGCTTAGCAGAATTCACACTTTGTACATTGGTGATGTGCCTCTGTTCCTTTGGACCCAGTACTTACCTATCTAAAAAAGAAAGTCTTTGATCCAAGTTGATGAGCTAAAATCTGAGTAAATTTTGGTGTGACCTGTAGAAACATACTTTATCTTCCTTCTCTCAATGTGGTGATAAGGTTCTGATGTTTTTTCTCTCCTGTTCTTTTTTTTTTTTCCTTTTTTGTTTTCCTCTTCCCCTTTTCCAGTGTTCTATTTAGGTGAGTGTTTTAATTTTTTGAGCCCTTCCTGTTCCTCCAAGAGTATTTGTTCATTGTTTTAAGAAAATCTCAGACTTGGAGTGCTTTTCAAAGCTTTTGTCAAATTCCATCATATATAAAATCTGTTTTGCATTTCTGTGAAACCTTTCCATCCATGTGAAATAAATTCATTCCGTAAATGCATAAGGTAACATTTGTTGCAGCTTTTATTTGCTAAATTATGTTTTTGAGCTTGTTTGGCTTAAAAGGCAAAAGTGAACAGTTCTTAAAGTCATGTGGTGGCTGGCCTTTTTCCTTGATTATGTGCTTTTTTGCATGGTAAAAATTCAAACCATTTTTATGGTCTGTCTTCACTTTTAGGTCCTACGTTGCCTCGACAGAATTCACAGCTTCCCTCTCAAGTGCAAAATGGTCCATCACAAGAAGAATTGGAAATCCAGAGAAGGTACGGTATTAAAAGTGAACAGATGTTAAATTCAAGAAAGTGATACCTTCTAAAGATGAGAAATTAAATGTCAAGGACTTAGAATTACTCTCTTGCATTAGGGCAGCATTTGTATGCGTGTGGTTTTCCTTAGTGCAGCTCGGCCATGTAAAAACTTTGATTGTAGCTGATCCCTTGTTCCTGCTCTCCACCCATTCAAACAATGCAACTGCTATTGGCCTGTCAGGAAAGAGCTGAAGATCAGAGGGGAAGCCTTGGGAGGTTTCACTGCTGTCATTTCCAACCAGACTAATTAATTTTGCAGTGACTGTTGTGTCTTCAGTTTTTGACACACGCTTGTAAGGAAGAAAGCAACAAGCAAAGAAGGAAGTTTTAACCTTTAGAAGCAGAGAATTGAATCATCACAAATGACAGCTTTTCTTCCTGAACGTGGATGCAGTAGATCAGAACATTCTATTGGAAATCTTGTTTGCCTTCATCTGTATTACTTAGCAAAGAAACCTTCCTTTTCTACTTCTAGTGTATAAATTTATGTTGCCTTTAGTTGTTTAAGTTTCAGCTGTAGCAGTGCTGGTTGTATCTGTGCTGCCTTCAGCGAGTAGTCTGTGTTCCCCTGACCAGCTGGCACTTCTCCAAGCTAAGCTGTTCCCTGCAATGTGAAGCCACTGTACCCTGTCCTATGCCCTGTGGGATATTTTTCAGACCCAAAGCATTTTTAACATACAGATTCTTTCTGTTCCTTTTAAAAATTGCTATGTATCAATGATGTGCCCAAGTTCTAGGAAACTCTGTAGTTGCCAGGTTCCCTCATTTGTTTTGTGGCAGTATGGGTTAATGCTGTAGATTTGGTGTGTGGGATATGGGTATATGAAATGGCAAAGTCTTGTAGGACAGTGCTGTCAGACTGGTTAAAGGAAAACAGCAAGACCTTGGGCTGTGTCAAGCATACTGCCTGTGATGCAATCCTGGATTGTTTTACCATCAAAATACTCCCAGGAGATTAGCTGTTCCCTTCCTGAAGGGATGCTGGGAGACATTTAGGTCACATGCAGTACAGATGCAGGGAACAAGATCCTTGAATAAATGGGAGGTGGTCCAGACTGATGGTGTAAAAGCACCTAATAGCTTTCTGTGGTAACTGGAAAAATGCTTAAACATGTTTGGGTCTAATTGGCACTGAAGTTTTTTCTGTGTTGCTATTTGGCACTTAGTTTGTTTATGAAAAGGTGAGCAGAACCAGACTGCTAATTTGGGAATAATTCATATTACGGGTTTGATAAACTAGTAACTGAAACATATTGAACAAAGTTTTGACATCAAAATTGGTCATAGTTGTCTGTCTTTTTTCTGCGGTATGTTCTTATTCTGAGCTGGGATCACTTTATCTGAAAGTTACCTTGTTTAAAAACAAATAGCAAGAAGCTCATTACAAATTCGTCTGTTTGATGTACTTATGTACAAGTTTGCTGTCATAGTAAAGGTCTTTTATGTCACTTCTTTTGACAGACTTTTAAAAAGCTTTTTTTCTTTAGATATTTTTTTCTGTTCTATATTAGTGGCTTTTAGTATTTTTATTTCTTGTCTGTTCCTTTAGAAGGCTGTATTAACTGAAATTTCTAATGCTGAAATATTTTTCAGAGTAGCATTGTAGATAGGCATCCCTTCAGGAAAAAGTGCTGCCCTATATTAAGAGCTCTGCAAGTCTCTTGAAATTTTTTGTATATAAAGGACATATTATCAGATGGCATTCTTATGGCTTCATTTCTCATTTGATCAGCGTGCTCTAATTGTTTTCATCTACTGTAATGTCCTCTTTGAAGTCTGGTCCTGGTTTTCATTTGTTTTTTCCCTAAAAGAGAATGGAGCTCTGGAGTGTTTACTCATGCTGCCAGCCAGATTGTCTGTGGAAAGACTATTGGCGTTGTGTCATTAAGCTTTAGAAGAACATGTAATTTTGTTAAAACATTTCACAAGTGCTTCTTCAGTCTTGTTACTGCTGTAACTACATGGTTTTAATGAAGGTCAATTAACTCTAAGCTCGAACTTGTCTTCTGTACTAACTGTCTTTCAGCTTTCAGACTGTAAGAACTTACTCCCATAATGTAGAGAGTAGTAAATAGTTGGGAAAAAAAGGTTTAGGCATGTACTACTTGTGACATATCTATGAGTGACATTTCCAATCTCAGTAAAGGGTAAAGGCAGTGTGGGCAGAATTGAATCCTGTGGGGAGCACTAAAGCTACAGGGAATGTAAGAAATGGGAATAAATGTTACTGCGTAGGAAGGAACATGGGGTTTGTGACGGATCAAGAGAAAGGCAGGCTTTGCTAAGTCTATGGCTTGTGAAATATGTATCTGTTGGATGGGGGTTTTCTTTAAAATGTGGCTTGATAATAGTTGTCTTTAAGTGCTGTTCTCATATCCCTGCCCTTAGGTGTACCTGGATTTAGTAGTGTTTAACTGACTACCATGTTGAGTGCAGGAAAATATTTTTTGAAATTATTCTAAGCTGGAGGAAAACATCTGCTTGCGTGAAAATTAAAGTTGGAAAAAGGACCCTGTGGAGGTCTAGTCCAACCCTCTGCTCAAAGCAGGACTAATTTCAAAGTTAAATTATGTGGCTTTTAGCTTCAGGGTTTTCCTAGGCAGAAATAGAAACATTTCTTCAGAAGTATTTTGCCAAAGGACTGACCAGTGAAGAGTGGCATAATGAAGAGAGCTCTTCAACAGATCTGATGGTTTTTTTCCTTTGCTTTTGTAACCAGTGTTCAAGAATCTTGGGGAAATTGGGAACTGAATTAGATCATTCCCAGCAAAAGTGTATTATTTTGCTTCAAAGAATCTTTTCTATTTTAGAAAGGATTTAGATGCCTTACATTTTAAGTAGAAGTGCTAAAGTAGTAATATTACTTTGCTTATTTTGCTGCAGAACTTCTTACTTGGATGCTTGTATTGCTTACTGTGCAGTGAGACAATTCTAAAGCTACAAGGACCAGATGTACGATCGAAAACACCAAGGGTTTTATGAAGCCAAGATTACACATGAGGTGTAATAAAATAATTTTATCTGGTGAATTGTAACCTTTGTTACTCTCTTTTAAGAAACCTTAACACATGACTTATGCTTTCCCTTTCAGGGAGTACTTGAAGTTAACTGTAATTTTCCTTAACTTGCACTCACTCAACTACAGTAATAACAAGCTTTAAAACACTCCAGCTTCTATTTTTAATCCTCAGAACTGAAGGGATATTTTGTTATATGGGTTGTTTTACATTTTGTCAGCCTGGTAGTCAGGCAGTGTTTATGAATTCCACCGATTGATAATGAGCCAAGTTGAGTTGACATATGTATTTGTTAATAACTTCAGAGTTACTTAATGTCAAACACCATTTTAAAATATAAGATTAGTTCATGGCATGCTTGTGTGTGCTACTCGTGCATGTAAATTTACCTTCTCTTCAGACATGGTAAATATATTGTCAGGAATATGAGTCATTGGGTTGGTATCTAATATGACACTTGGGAATTTAATGAGTTAATGTTTATAAATAACTTCAAAATCATCACCGCTTCATAAATAAAGAGACCAAGAACACCAGAAACAGAGGAACTGTATAGATAGTAAGGAATAATGAAGGTATACAAGCCTCCTGTCGTCCTTCAGGGACGTAATGGACCAAAACTTGACCGAATTCTTTCGTAAGTACTCAGAAATGTTAGAAGCTTGCAAAGCGCAACAGCAGAATATTGGGGGGGAGGTTATAATCGTTAAATACTTCAGATTTGCTTACAGTTTTAGTTTGTTTTGTGGATTGGGTCTACCATGTTAAAGAAAAGTTGGTGTGTGACTGCTAGAAAATAGTGTTGATATGGTGTGGTGTTTTCATAACATCTTGTGAAAGGCTTCTTAGTTTTAGATAGTGCAAGTTCAGAGGCTGTCAAGGGTAGCAATTTCTTATTTACCAATAGACTCAAAGGAAAGATATTTATTTTACAGATTTAAAATGTTTTTTCTGAGACTTTGCTAATTTTAATTTTTTAACTATGGTAAAAGAATTCTCCCCCTCCTTGTAATTTAGTAATTATTACATAGGTAATTTCTGAGCTGTTTTGAAAACATGGACATGGTGAAAGAAAAAACCTGCATCCCACGATTCAGTGGTAATATAGCTATAGTAATTTGAAGAATGAAAGCTTGCCCATCACTTTCTGTCCCTGATAGCCTGGTTTCTACTGATTTTCCACAGCCTGTAGTGGCCAGATGTAGTGTTTCCAGTTTTCCTTTGCTTTTGAAATTGTACCATTTATCCAACAGCTTATTTCAGGAAGTAGGATTCCTTTAAAAGGCGTACAGATTGATTAGATTATAACTGACCAGTCAGTTCTAATCTGAAATACGCATATGAATAGATATAGTAGTTGGATTTTTGGTTCAGGATTTTCAGAGTGGTCAGTAGAATACAATCATATGATTGTATTGTGTGCTGTGCGTGTTACAAAATCTGCATGAAGTTTGCACCCCAGAGACATGGTTTACATGGAATTGTGTACTAGGACGAGAGACAAAAGGAGACCAAAGCAAGACCCATCAACTGGTTTTGTTTGTCATCATAAAAGGTTATTTTTTTTTTTCCTTGCCCTCAAAAGTTTCTTGAGAACAGGGCTGAGTTTTGGTATAATAATGACTATTTTCCTTTCTTTTTTTTTTTTTTTAAGATGTGTCATTTTCTTTCCATTCGTAGTAAGGTTTTCCTTAGTTTTGTCAAGTCTAGTTTTCAGAGACTTAAAAGGCTTTTGAGGAGAGGTGTAATAGTCTGTCTGGTTACAGCACTGCATAACTATACATGCTGGGTAACATTAGTCTGTTTAGCAGGCTGAGAAGAGCACTCTTCCATTAAGCAGTCTTTTGACTCCATTGACAAAGTTGCTATGAAATCTTACCCTTTTTGAAAAATTTTCAGTTCTATGGTTTTTTTTTTCTATTTAATGCGAAATGTGTA